AAAGGCACAGGGGCGGCTCTGGCAGCCAAAACGACTACGGAGGAACGAGCACCCAAAACGACTACGGAGGAGCGAGGGGGAAGAGGAAAAGGACGCGGCGGAGGAGGACTGAAAGGGAAGGGGGAGGACAGCTTGAGCAACAAATGGCGAAGCATCAGGTCGATTAGGCGGCGTGCAGGGTCTGCAGCAGACCGGCAGACCGCAGGCCAGCAGGTGGCTGGGGCGCGGTTACGTCACGGCTGGCGGGGCGGCAATCAGGGCTCAGCGCCTGCCTCGCAAAAGCACAAGCGCACAGGCGCCAGAGCAGACAACTGCTCCTTCTTCTCCTCCTCCTCCTCCTCCGCCTCCTCCTTCTCCCACCTCATGATTGTCTTTATCCTCCTCCTCTTCCTTGTCTTCTTCCCACCCCTCCTCCCCATCCTCCTCGCCCTCTTTCAAAATGTACCCATAAATGATTCGGAACGCGTTCCGTGTAATTACTCGTCATTCTACTCGCCCTCCTCCCGTTTGCTCCGTCTCCTCTTCTTCATCTTTCTCCTCCTCCCTCATACTCTTCCTCCTTTTGTCATTTCTTCTTCAAAAGGGTAGCGAAAGAATATATTAAGCTCCCCCCCCTCTTCCACTGCAGATTGCCACACTTCCCTGATCAAAGCAACCCGCCTTGGGATCGTTTCAGGATGGGCTGGTGGGAATACTGGAAGCGTCCAGAATAAAACAGGTTCGTCAATAGGGCACGCGAAACGCTGATACGTACATACGTCCGAACGCACTGGGAGCACGCTCCTGCCCAGGCGGAGCGAAGGAGGGGACAAGGGAAGGCCCGCGGAAGCGCTGCATGGCCCAGCCCTGTGAGCAGCTGGACGCGCATAACAAAACAGCATCATAATGCAAGCGGTGCATACTCCTCGTCAGGCGGACGGAGTGGGATGACGAAACGGACGCGGATCCTTGGGAGCTACACTCAGGTGCAGTGGGCAATCATGGGGGCCCTTCGAACTGTTCAGGGCTGGTGTGGGTGCACCTTTAGTATGCCATGGACCGGCTCGGAGTGTACGGGTCTCTTGAATGTCTTGCCAGAGTGTCTGAGTGCTGTAATTATTGGGGCTCTCTGATGTTGCCACTTGTGTTGCAAATGAGTTGGGTACCTAGTTTTTTGAATGGGACAGTGGGGGGCCATCATATAGCCCCCCACCATCCCTGTCATGAGCCAGGCGCGACCTCAATTCTGGGGACCAACATCTTAGGTCACTTGCATTGCTTGGCACTGGTTGGCGTTGATTGGCGTTGTATGGCATTGTTTGGCACTGCTTTGCATTGCTCGGCGTTGCTTGGCGTTGCTCAGCAGGGACCCCGATGAACCCCAAGGAACCCAAGCGAGGAATCCAAGCGATGAGCTCGAGGAACCCAAGCGAGGAGTACCGAGGAACCTGGGAACGCCGATCGGAAACCAAGGCCAAAGAACCTGGGGACGCCGGGCGACAACTCTGATCGACGGCCCCAGACCCACGAGTTCTTTTCGAGACAAGTAAGTGCCCCCAGGCAAGGTCTACTTTTGGAACAACCAATCCAAAGTGCATGTTGCGGTAACACCTAGATCATGTTCGGGCGCCCCGAGATCGCTGTCTGTTGTTTTTGACAAGGGCGGCGGGGGCGCCATCATATCTGTCAAAAACCAATACAAAATATTGGACCATGCGCGGGCGCCCTGCAATCATTTTGAATTGTTTGTAACAAGGATGATTGGGGGTACCCGCATATTGCATGGTGTGTGCAGGCCCACTATCCCTGTCAAAAACCATGCGAAGTGTTTGCGGGTGCGCGCACGATGCGCCGTGCTGGCCACCCCGCCGCCTTTTCGCAGTGGCTTTTGACAAGGATCGTGTGGGGTCAGCATGTTCCTTGATGAGTGCGGTCACGTGTACTGGCGCACCTGGCACTCTCTGCGCGCGCCGCACACGTGGCGCACCCGGCGCGGGTGGAGCACGTGGCACACTCGGCGAAAATGTACCCCGCAACGCATCCGGCACCCCAGGCGCGCCTGGCACGCTTGGGCTTCCGTGGCGCCTGGCGCACCTGGTGCGAGAGGTGCGACTGGCACGCGCGGCGCACCTCGTGAGCGTCGCACACATGGCGTCTGTTGTGGTCCCCAGTGGCTGCCCATCCCATGGCGCCACTTGCCAATGCTGAAAGTCGCTTGCTAGGTATGTGGTGGGAGGGCGGAGCGCGAGGGCTTGTGGCCGCCCTTCGGGCTCCATATCAATAAAGACCCCTCCCCGACTCCACCGACGACCGACCCGAAACAATGCCGACCCCCCGGCCATCCCTGTCAAACGCGATTGAACTTGAATGTTGCGGCAAAATCTTGGACCATGCGCGGGCGACCCGCGATCACCCTGCAGTGTCTTGTTGTCAGGGACGGCGGGGGGGTGGGGCCAGCACATACCAACAACAAGTGCAACGTGATTGCAGGTGCACACGCCATACACCATGCTAAGCATCTCGCCGCCACTTTGCATTGTGTTTTTCGACAGGGATGGTGGGGACCGACATGTTTCCCCGATGTGCTCTGTCACCTGGACTGGCGCACCTGGTACACTCTGCGCGCGCCGCGCACGTGGCGCACCTGGCGCGGCTGGAGCACGTGCCACACTTGGCGCATATGGAGCACGCTGCGCATCTGGCGCACCAAACGCGCATAACACGCTGGGGATTCTGGGGCGCCTGGCGCACCTGGTGCGCGCGGCGAGCTTGGCACCATGGCGCGCCTCGCGAGCGTCGCACACCTGGCAACTGCGTTGGCTCGCAATGGGTGCCCATCCAATGGCGACCGCGAAATCCGCCGATCCGGCCTGTGAGTTTCAATTCGCCGGCCCAACGGGCCAGAGGCGTGCTAAGATCTCGGGTAACTACTTTAACAATATTTCTAGTTCGCGCGCGCGGGGCGGCCCCTGGGGCCCCCCCGGCGAAAGTACCCCGACCGTAGCCCGGGAAGGTCTACTCAGAGATGGTTTTCTTCCTGGGTGCGGCCTCTCAGGCCCCCCAGAGCGCGCCAAGAGGGCTCCAAGAGGCCCCCAAGACTGCCCAACAGGCCCCCGAGACGCCCAATGGACGCTCCAAGACGCCGAAGATGATCCCAAGACGGCCCAAGAAGCCGCCAAGACGCTCCAAGTGGCCTCCAAGAGGCCTCACAAGAGCGCCCCGAGAGGCCAAAATCATAAATTTACGATGGTGTTGGAAGGATTTTGGCCTTGTCGCATTTTCTGCTTTCCGATGCTCCAAGACGGCCCAAGAGGCCCCCAAGAGCGCACGAAGACGACTCAAGAGGCCCCCAAGAAGGCCCCCAGAGAGCCCAAACGGGACCCGAGACGGCCCAAGAGACGCCCAAGACGGGCCAAGAGAGCCCCAAGACGGCCCCAAGAGGGGCCCAAGATGGGGACCACGAACCGAAACCTCAAGCCTTCCGCCCCAAGAGGGCCCCAGGAGGCCCCGAGAGGCCCCCAAGATGGCCCAAGATGCCGCCAAGAGGCCCCCAAGAGACCCCAGGAGGCTCCAAGGAGGCTCAGAAGAGGCCCTACAAGGCTTCAAAAATGTCTCCCAGGCGCCCCCGAACGGCCTCTCAACAGACCCCAGGGCCTCCCAAAGAAGCATCTGGACGACGGCCCTGTTTGGCCCCAAGAGCGCCGCAAGATGCCATCGACCGCCCTTTTCTCTTCCTCCTCCTCATATTTATCTTCATCCTCCTCCGTTCCTGGGTCCGTTCCTTCTCATCCTCTTCTCCTCCTCCTCCCCCCCTCCCCATCCTCATCTTCCTCCTTCCGGCGGCGCCGGAATTTCCCCGAGCCCGCGCCGAAGCAGTAACGATCATGCAATACGGGCCGGCGGAGTGACGCTTCCGAGGAGAAGTCCGGCATCGAGTCGAGCAGCTCTTCGAGTTCGGGCTCGAAGAAAAATAATAAGAAGTTCAAGAAGAAGGGCTCCGATAATAATAATAATAATAATAATAATAATAACAAGAAGAGCAAGAAGAAGAAGAAGAAGAAGAGCAACAACAGCTCGTCGTCTTCGTCGGAATCCAAGAAAAAGAAGAAGGTGAAGAAGGAGAAGACGAAGAAGAAGAAGGGGCTGAGCTTCAACTCTGTTTGGGGCTTGGCTTCAGCTCTGCTTGGGGGGTGGGTGCCAGGGTGGCTTCGTCGGGGTAGGGGGACAGGAAGGGGGGGGTCACCAAATTCCTGTCAGGGGATGGGGGGGGCTGAGCTTCAGCTCTGCTTGGGGGGGTGAGTGCCGGGGTGGCTTCGCCGGGGTAGGGGGGGGGAGGGGGCGGGGTGGTCATCAAATTCCCAGAAGGGTAGGGGAGGGCTAAGCTTCAGCTCTGCTTGGGGTGGGGCGAATGCCGGGGTGGCTTCGTCTGGGTAGCGGGGGGAGGGGGGGAGGGGGGGAGGTCACCAAATTCCCCGAGCGCATGTCCCTCGGTTTTGGAAGAGGAGGACTAGGGAGGAACACCAGAGACATTCCAAACGCGGGAAGACAGCCCACAAAAACGAGAGGAGCAGCACGCATCATCAGGAGGTCTGAATGACAAGGCGACAACTTCGCAGTGCCTAGTCGTTAGGAAGCTCGTAACTCCTAACTACAAAGAGTCGTTGGGAAGCTCCCAGCAACAACGGGAAAGGCGCCCGCCATGCGCGAGAGAGCGCGCCCCAAACAGTCAGAGACAGGCCGCATGCATATAAGTGGAAGCAAAATATGTGGCCCCGATTGCTCCTCCCGCTACTGCAACAGCCAGCCTTGAGACAGCAAAGACCGTAAGGGGGGGGAAGGGCGCACGAAAGCAGGGAGGGACGCGCGACGAGCGAGGACGAGACGCCGAGGACACGGAGAGGGAGGAACGAACGACGAGAGGGACGACGGAGGACGCGCGAGCGGGGTTACCTGCGGGGCTGCTTGCGCAGTGGCTGTGCTCTCAGCAGACAGTCTCTGTACTCAGGCGCCCGCCGTGCGGGTCACGAAAGAAGAGCTGGAAGCGCGTCGCCATCGCGGTGCAGCTCTTCGCGAGAAGGCACCCCCGGTAGCTTGGAGGCGTTGGGGACTTGCCAAGGGTCGGGATCGAGCGCGCGGGGGGAGCCAGAGGGGCTATAAGGGCCCACAGCGGCGACCTTACCCCAGTAGCGCATGGAGCGAGTGGACAAGGACTTGAAGAGCGCCCGAGGGCGCGCCCTCAAGATGGAAATTCCGGGCTGCGGCCCTTCCGAGGGCCCGTCTGGGTCCACGGGGAGGGAGCGTTGGCTGTCCTGCCTCATCAGGTCGTGGAAGATGGATTCCGTCGCGCGTCCCAGCCAGCGGACCATGAGCTTCTTGATCTGCGAGTCCACGTAGGTGAAACTGCCGAAGGTATCCAATATCATGTGCTGCACGTTCTCCTTGTCCTTCTGGACCGATGCCTCGGCCCTCTCCGTGTTCACCTTGAAGAGCGCGGTCTTGACGCGGCTGATCCCCTCATTGCCGTGCGCGAGCTGCCCCATCAAGGTCCGGATTTCCGCCTTGGGCATGATGATCTGCGGCTCGATCGACAATTTGATGGCCATAGCCTGCTCGAAGATCGTCCAGATGCGGGTTAGGTACGTGGGCCCGTTCCAGACGTCGAAGAGCGCCAAGACGCGGCCGATGCTCCTCAAATTTTCCTCGAAGACGCTCGCAAGGTTGTCGCTGCCGGTCTTCGCCTTATCCCTCTTCTTGCTCTGGTCCAGGATCCGATACTGGTTGTTCACGAAGAAGCACATGTACAGGTACACGGTCTCCGCGCTCTCCTCCTCCGCGAGGCCGTCGTGCTCCAACTCCTCGATCCAGGAGCGCAGCGCGTCCTGAACCACGCTCAGGCGGTAGGCCCACGTCCAAGACAGGAAGTGCGTGCACTTGCCCCGGTGCTTCGCGGGCAAGACCCGGGAGTCCACGAATGCGCAGCCGTCGTAGCCGTCCCGTGGGCACCGCTCCCGCTCCCCGATCGGGTCCGCGCCCAGGAAGAACACGTCCCGCAGCTGGTAGAACGTCGGGTCGTCCTCGCCGCTGCGCCGGCGGGCCAGGCCGGTGAATTCCTCCGAGAGCAGGTACGCAACAGAGATGCCCCACCGCTCGCTTTTGAGCCTCATGTGCTCCTCGATCTCCGAGGTGGACAGCGAACTCGCGATCATGCTCCGACCCTTGCTGAAGCACCTCTTGCACACATCCTCCCAGTGCTCGTGTGCGAGGGCTTCGTCGAGCAACTGCCTCGCGGCCTTCTTGGCCCTGCGGCGGCGGCGGCGGCGGAACGGCACCAGGATTCCCATCGCCAGCGCCGCGCATCCCACAATGAGGAACGCGGCAGAGAGCATGAGGATCAGCTGGGCATTCTCGACCCAGAAGCTCTCAAACGACGACTCATGCAACGACGACGCCTGCTCCTCACAATAGCTGCCCCGGCCGCTGCTGCACTGGCACCTGCCGTCTAGCAAGCAGCTGCCTCGTCCAGAGCACTCCTGGCCGCTTAGTGTCAGCGAGCTTGACTCGTAGACGCACTTCTGCTGCGCCCAGGATGGCTTGGGGAAAACCATCCTTGCGCCGCCCTCAGGCGCGCCGACCACCAGCACACTCCCGTTCCTGTCCCGCGGGGCCTGGAGGACCATCAGATCCTGGTCCAGCTGGCCGTTTCGGTCGAACCGCACACCTCTCGGATTGTAGAACTAGGTCAGGGACGACAGATTGCGCATCGCGCTGGCCACCAGGTCTGACTCGAGGGAGTCGGCCTGCTCGATGGCTTCGGAGAGGGCGCAGAGCGCGCAAAACTGCGCGGCGGCGAAGTAGGACGGCTCCAGCTTCCACTGGTCGTAGAACAAGGCGTGGAACTCCTGGGAGGTCAGGTTGCTGAAATTGCCGCGGATCTCCGAGCCGCTTGTCCCATGCCACGCGATGGGCTCGAGCCAATGCGCGCCTTGCCACCAGCCCATCCTGAGCTCTGCGAGGAAGCGCGGCGAGGAGACCAGCCCGAAGCCCATCAAAGCGTGCACCTCGTAGTCGAGCTCAGGCTCCGACATGAGCCGGGTCGCCTCCACGAGGGTCTCCAGGCTGAGCTTGCAGATGAAGAGGACAGTGACCGCCCGGTCCTTCAGCCGCCGCAGGGCGAGGCCGAGCTCCGCGCGCGAGGCCTCGTCCGTGACCCGCTCCCAGTGCGAGGCCGCGCCGAAGAGCTCCTCCGCGTCGCGCATGGCCCCCGGGTCGCAGCCCTGCCCCAGCATCCCGAACCGCAGCTGCGAGACGCATCCGGCGGCCCCGCAGAGGTCGGCGGCGGCCGCCGCCGCGCCGGCCCCGGCGGCGGCGTCGTCGCGCTCCGCGGCGGCCCGCAGGATGGCCCTGAGGCCGAAGATCTCCCAGGAGGGGGGCACGAAGCCGAATAGCCGCGTCAAGTTCTGCTCGTAGACGTAGGTGTAGCTGGACCCGGCGCTGATCATGAGCCTCCCGTCGGCGTCGGCCTGCCGGGCCGCGTACTGCGTGAGGCCCGAGCTATACGGCCCCAGGGCGAAGTGCACGCCCCCCCGGGCGCGCAGGGCGCGGGCCGTCGCGTTCGTGACCTGCGCCCTCGAGCCGCGGTCGTCCACGAAGACCACCTTCATGGCCAGGCGCGCCCCCCGCACCTGGAGCCCGCCCCGCTCGGCGTTGAGCCAGCGCGCGAAGGTCTGCGCGGCCTTCCGCATCTCCAGGGAGATCTCCGCGAGGACGCGGATGCTGCTGTACGGCACGCTGAGGGTGGACGGCCCGCCCACGACGACCTCGCCGTCGAACGCGTCTGCCTCCGCGCCGTACGAGGTGTGCTCCGTGCCCGCCGGCAGCTCGTGGGCCTCGCCGCTCTCCAGCACCTCCACCGTGTCCGGGCCCCCCTCCACCTCCCCGGGCCGCACTACGACGTTGGTGCAGGTGTCGTTGCAGAGCGACACCGCGGCGGGCAGGTGCGCCAGCGCCAGCGCCAGCCGGGCTCGACCGAGGGCGCGTCCTCCAACGGTCATTGGGCCTCGGGGTCGCACGGGGGAGGCGAGCCCTAGGTCTTGTGACCTAGCGGCTGGACCGCCCCGCGGATAGCCGTCCCGCGGAGACATGGCTGGAAAAGGACCCCGAGGAGCCCGCGAAACTGGGCCAGGAGGCAAGTTAATTTGTCTACAATGTGGCAGGTATGTCACAGGCCAAAATTGGCGATGCCTATGTGGACAACATTGGCGATGCCTATGTGTTTCGGCATGCATTTACAAGCCAAGCCCAAACATGGAACCCACTTTCAGCAAGACCAAAAGAATTGTGCCACGAGCCCCGAGCCGCGCCCGTTCAAAGGCCAGAGAGAATGACAACAAAGCCATCAAGGCCTTCATCAACAAAACGACTCCTGCGAGACGGGGAGATGCGCATGCATCGGCAAAGGGCGAGACATGTTCAAGGAGCCACCGACGGACATCAAGAAGCTGAAAGCATTTCGAGCAGCCAATCGAGATCGTCTGTTTCGGCTGTCCAAGCTATCTCTTGCAGCTACCAGCATGCCATACCAGGACTATGCGTACGAGATCTCAGTGGCGCGCCTGATGCTAGCCACCGCCGAATCAGTAACCAAGCAACTGCACGACCTGCACACTGCCGAGGATAGGGTCGTAGAGCGGATTCGCATCACACGGGAAACATCGAAAACCTGATTGAAGATGAGCGTCAAGCGGAGGATGAGCTCGAGCGCCTCAAGACGAGTATCGGCGAGATAAAGGAGATCGCAGAGGATCAAGCCTTCGATGACATGGATGATGATCCAGGGGGAGGTGCTGCTGGTGCGACGTGTGCGGACCACCGCAATCATACACCGAGAGGCGGAGCTCCCATGGGAGCGCCCGCCCCAGCCGCAGCAGCAACGATGGCCGGAGCAGGGACAACGACGGGCGGACACAACCCTGGTCCTCCGCCAAGCCCGCCGTCGCCGTTCATGCCATCGCCGTTTGGACCACCCCAGCCGTCGCCGTTCCCGTCATGGCCGCCAGCCCCGCCGGTGACCTACCCCCTAGCCGCAGCCCACCATGTCCGACATGAATCGCATGCATTCGATGATAGAGACTTGCCGTCAGATGCAACAATCCGAATGCGAGGATGGAGCAGTTCGTGCAGCAGGGCCCAGCGGTGGGGTTTACTGCACGGGCTCCAGCAGAGCCCCAACCACACCGACACCAGCCCACGATGGCAGCGCCAACAACAATGGGCGGAACAACAGATGGAGCGGGAGCACCTGTGCCGGCCACACCACCAGCGGCAGGTGGCAGGCTGGCCTCACCGTCGCCATACCCGCCAGGCCAGCGGTCGCCAGCCACGCCGACAGAGCCAGCCGATGCCTCGCAGGGGCTGCGCGAGCAAGTAAAGGAGATGGACAAGGATATGGAGGATATTCCAGTGCCGGCCAGCTTCGCGCCCGCATCGCCGACAATGCCCATGCCTTCACAGAGGCAGGAGGACCCGCACTTGCGGCACCCCGGTGCGGGCACGGCACCCTGAGCCAAGAGGCGCCGAGTCCAGCACCACAGGAGCCCTGTGCCCAGCCAGAGCCGCCCGAGCCAATAGATGTGCCGTCACAGGACACTGCGAAGAGCCCGCCACGCAGGGAGGCCAGGCACGCCTGAGTCCGAGCAAGCTTGCAACCGCTGTGCCAACGCCTGGGCAGAGGCGTGCGCACTGGGGAGTGAATGAATTCAGTACCTTCTGTGTTGGGGACATGCCCATAATACATCCTCCTGCCCCTTCTTGCAATCCACCTAGATCCTCACTCAAGGGCTCTCGGGTGGGCAAGGAGACAAGGTATGCCTCTAACGACTATGCTTGTTTCCAGCGATGTATGGGAGCCGAAACATGGGATTGCACGGGCAATATTTATTGTTGTCCGTGCGGCAGGCTGGATGTGTACCGGAGCAATCAGATGGCGGTACGGGCACTACGGCTGGACAGCCCAGCAAGGCGTGCGTGCAGGGGAGTACTTGGTTGGCACAAGGCTAGCACTTGCCCGCAGTGCGCTTCATCGCCAGACGTCGGCACCCGAATCTGGCGTTCGTACACAAGGCCCATTATCTATCGGCCTTGTGACAAGGGTCCGCGTAATGCAAGGCGCAGTGCAATGGGACAGTGGATTTCCCCGAATTTCGGGGCTGCAGGCGATGGGCAGTCTGCATGGCGACACCGCGTGGGCGAGGCAACACACTGCCGGCAGAAAGGCTCGCGCCAGCATTTCTTCCCAGATTCTTCCAGCTGGCGGTGAACGCAGAGAGGACAATTGCCGCACGAATGTTGCGGGCAGAGAGCAGCTGCCCGAGGCGTCCCGCCGCGAAAAGATGGAGGCAGACACTGGGGAACACGCCACAACGGTTGAGCCGAAAGGCTACGGAAGGGAATGGAAAGCACAGACATGACCATGAAATCTGACACGTGGTTTTGGCAGCCAGAGTTGTTTTCGCGGCAGTTCTAAAAAGGGCCAAAGAAGGACCAATATGGAGCCCCAAATATCGTCCAGCTTCTGGAACAGACACAAGGATCTTTTCCAGCAGTTGGAAGAAACTTCTGCTGTAGCTGCGGGGTCGATCTGAAAGCCTGGGACGGCCCACGAGACGTGGCGTTGGATTCAATCGATTGCCCGCAACGTCGAACACGTGAAGACCCCAAAATGGACAGCACCAAGTGTCCTGCTGGAGTGGAAGAGTCAACTCCCAATGAAAACCACAATCATGGCCATGACATATGGTATGCAGGGCGTGGATTCTTACTTCCAGAATTGGCTTCGCGACAGGACAGGCTTTTTCAGTGCAGAACCTGCGCAGCTGGTCCAGCAATGCAACGTTCGTTGCACGACTTGTTGTGTACAAGGAAGCGTGCGTTTGTGGCGATTGTGGTGGTTCTGTTGCACGAGCGGTGGTTCCACTGCAGGAGTGGAAGGTCTACTGCAGGGGTGGTGTGTCAATGGCAGCTGTGGTGATTCTCTTGCAGGATTGGTGTTCTCATTGCGGCAATTGTGGTTCTGTGGTGTGAGTATTGCAGCAATCGTTTGCGTTGCAGGACGGTTCGCGTTATTGGAGGACTGGCTGTTTTTGTTCAGGATTTGGACCGTTTTCGGAAGAATTGTGAAGCGTGACAGGAATGGTGGGTTAGTCTTTCCTCTGAGAACCGGGGTAAGATGACAAAGGAATTAAGGTCTCACGCTCAATCTGCTCAGTGGTAGAGGGTGCGGGATGAGACATCGATAAGACAAATAACCTGTAAGCATATGTACTCTAAGTATGGTAAGGGAGGAGGCCGGCCGGCCGACGCCCGCGCGCGGACGCACAGCGGCGCGCTCCTTTTTCACCTTCGAGCACAAACAGCTGCGGGATGGCACTGCAACTACAGTCATACATTGCGCAGCGAGGCAAGCAATATGATAAGCAGTATTAAGATGAGGCGGAGAGGGGCATATTTACTCCCCCCGCGGCGGGCCTCGTAGAGCCCATCCAACCACAGCACCCCCGGCCTGTACATATACACAACCACCGGAGCCAACCGCAAAATAATTGCACGGCTCAACGGTGGCTGCCAGGGGGCTGAGGGCCGAAGAGGCCCGACGACTCCCACCAGTAGATAAATAAATTCTCTCCGCCGATGCGACTTTGTCGATCGGTAGAGCTGCTTTCTTCGTCCGATGCGACTTCGTCGATCGGCGAAAATTCTCTCACATACGCCTGCGGCGACTAATTCACGCGGGCCGGGCTGTGACCAGATCCTCGAAAGGGTTGTCCCCCGTCGGTGGGGTCGGAGGCCTCGGATGCGATGATGCCGACCCTCCTGTTTGTCCTTCGCCTCCACGAGGCGAGCGGGACCTCCCTTTGCCGCGGCCAGCGTAGCACGCTGATCTGCAGTGCTCGTCTTTGTTCTTGGACGCCTTCCCCTTTGGCGGGAAGCGAAAGTCATGTTCAGCCAGAGACAGGACATGCCACGTCTGCGACCACCAGACGTCGTAGGACAGCCACCAGATCCGATCCCGATGGACGCAGCATCCGTCCTGCACATCATTTATGTAGCGCGGGTCGGAGACGAGCGGGTCGTAGCCAGCGGCGCCCCGGCCGACATCCATGGCACCATCGCGCGCGCTGGGGCCTCGACCAATCCCGCGTGTCCGAACGCCATGAGTATTCTTCTCCTGCCGAGGCGGCTGGGCCGCTGGCAGAATATGGGGATTCCGTAACTTCGTCGCCAGCCCGAGCGTCTTGGACGTCAGGTCTGCGCGGCGGAGGTGGCAGTTGCGGTCTCGCTTTCACCGCGCCCTGTGGTCGTCTCGGCCCCACCGAACCAGCCTGGCTGTCGAGGGGCTCACTGGCGCGTGCTCTCTCACGAACATTCTGTTCTCGATCGCGAACGAACTTCAGCATATTCCTAGCAGCAGTAGCTACAGGAATGCCACATGTTCCGCATGCAGTACGGAACGGGCCTACATCTTTGTCTTGAAGCTCCGTGTTATCATCCTCGCACCTGTTTTGAAGCCAATAAATGGCCTCCTGTAACAATGAGCCTCGGTTCGTACCTGTCCACCTATATTACGGGCCCATTCCTCTATGAGGTCGCCCGTTTGAACCGCAGCGCGGATGCGACAGTCAAGGGCGTATGCGTCCCTTCGTCGCTTGTAATGATAATCATCTGAGCTCCCGCCCGCTGTAAGAATTGTTCACCCCGGGTAATCTACGAAGTGTCCTTCTGAGATAAAGGAGCTCATGCTTTCGCGAACGATGGCAATCACTCTCATTATACGAAGACCAAGTTGCATCTCCGATACAGGAGCCATCCAGTTCCCTCCAACGATGTTCCTCACGATTTCTGGGACTTCATGTTGTGTTTCCCCGGACAGTCGCAACCTATTGGGATCATTGTTAATTGAGCGAACACTTGTGTATTCAATGACATATTGAGCTGTTATCGCTCTAGCCTCAATCCCAGTCAAAGATATATTTATTGAACTGTCCTCACAGCGTTTATATG